TCGGTAATTATACTCTTGTCTGGTTTTTTGTATTATCTAAGAGGGGTTCGGCCTTGTTAGAAGGTGTCCTTTAGCGTTTCTTGATTTCAATACTTTTTTTTATCTTTTCCAAATTAATAAAAATTTTAAAACGTAGCAGTGGAGTTATTTTTGGCGTAAATCAAATTGTTTGAAGCAAAACAATTCAATTGATGCTTTGAGCTCATGTAAAATTATTTTCTCGAATTTTGAAACAGTACTTGTCGACGAAGAGTGAAGAAGTCGAGTAATCAACCAGATTTTGCGGTTTCACATTATTTTTGTATGAAATCTCCTCACTCTTCACCAATTTGATATGCATTTGATTCATCGACGACTTTTAAGTACTGTTGTCTCATGACGTATCTAATAGTTTATTACTAATTATTTATTTGAATATCGAGCATTGAAAAAAATGAAACTGATCGCGACAGAGAAGTAATCGATCGGGATTTATTTTTTTCAGCAAAAATCGTATTGAAAGAATGAAACACGTCCAATCACAATAATCAGGATATTTTCATATTTTTACTACGTTTTAACTCGAATTGATGATTAATCTTAGGGTTCTCTTTTTACATTTATTTTTTTTTTCTCTCATAAAATATGGAACATCATAATACAACCGCCAACTAAATTCATTTCTTCATTATCCGGGAACCTCCTCGCAAAACTATAGCGATATATCAAATATATATGTATACCTATTTATACCAGAGATAATTACGTGTACACGATAATTAGGCATACGCTGCCAATTACGAATATCTTGTTACCCTTCAATTTTAATTTCTCTTTCAATCTTGTACAATATACTCTATATAATCCTCGATATTTATACTTTTATATATATCTATACGCTCTGTAAGCTAAGCACATTATCTTTATCTGTTAAAACTACTACGTGGCTATAAGATTCGGACCCCGAGTCTCTTCCCCTTTCGTGATTCCCCTTCTCCCCCAATCCAATGCCAACTACTCGCGTTGTTCAGAAATGTTGGTTGGGGTTGTAAAAAAAAATCACTCGAGGCTCGGAGTAACGATGGAATCCGAATCGTCAGTGACACCTTGTGGCGAGCACTGGCTAGTCCAGCCCTCGCCTCGGCCCCCCTCAACTCAGCTAAATGTACGCGAAGATATACGTCTCTTTTTCTCGAGCCATCCGTTATAATATATCCTTCTCCGATCGCGTGCGCAACTCGAGAAAAGAAATGTTTCTTTCGATCATTCCGTGGAACACAGGTTGCTTTTTTTTTTTTTTTTTTTTTTTTTTTTTTTTTTTTTTTTTTTTTTT